GAACGAAGACAATAAAAAGCCCCTCTCCTTCCTTTTGCCATTTATGGAAAGCCCAGCCAGAGCTACAGATCTTGAGCCCAGACTCAGCCAAACTTCCACATCATGCTCTTTTACCACCTGAATAAGCACGTCTCGTAAACTGCCGAGCATTGGTTTTCCTCTCAAGGTGCCTCTCCTTCTCCTGCGAGCAGGAGCAACGTGTGGATTGAAAACAGCCTCACTTGCTTCAAACTCTGCCTCTCCAGAAATGCTAAATGGAGTTGTTTATTTTATTAGCTAAAAAAACCCCCAAAACCTAAGCTAATTGTATGGGTTAAATTAAGCAGGACTTTCAATGGAATTACTCTTACAAAAGCTCAATGTTTTCAGTCCCTGAGGTCTACATTTTCAAAACTGGTAGTTATCTTTAAGAAACAGCTATCTCCCTTGAGCTGGAAACAGTTTCTCAGTGACCTTTACTTTTAATATGATATCCCTAAAGAGGTCATAGCAGGAGAAGCCCTCCTTCAGTATGGCTCTGCTGGAAGGAAGCCACCAAAGAGTCAGAGGATATAAAGGATCCTTGGGCCAATGCAAAAGTATAGAGCTTTCGTACAGATGGTCCTGGCTTCCAACCGGTCCCTCCAGATCTACTGAGCCAATCCAACAATTAGAGGAAAATATTCAGAAAGCAGAACCTCACTGAGCTTCTCTCACCCATCTGCTCCTACAGACTCTGCAACAGGAGGAAATCTGGCTTGAGTAACAGAAGAAGGGTGAAATGGATTGAACAGGGCTCAGAAAGGCCCAGAAGTTCAGCCCCAAATGCAACCAAACTGTGAGAGCGTTTGGAAAGGACTGGAAAAAAAACATACATTGGAAAAATATAAAAAGTCCCAGCTGCAGAGGGTTTAGTGATCTGAAAGCCAAAGCACAAAAAGCCAAAAGCATGGTTTCTTCTTCTGCATGAGTTCAGACAGCAAAATACACTATCTGTTCAATAAAATTAAGAGTCCCTTTGTGTCTGAGTACTGTACTTGTTTGTATGTCCTGAATGGTCACACATATAGAAATATTTCTGTATAAGAGAATATTTATTCCTGACAAAACATTTTACATTAATGGACAATGGAAAATCTTCATAGATCGTATATTTTTTGCACATATATTACAATCACCCTTTGTAATATAAAACCTCCCTGTTTATACTGTCTGTATAGTACTTTCCAGGTTCTTCTTAAATAGGCAGGTTGGCTTAAATAACTGCCGCTTCTAGGACCTGATCCAGTGCCAGCCAAATTCAATGGAAATATTCAAGTGACATCAATCTCCTTTGAACTACACTTTCCATGCAATTTGTATGTATTTGAAGGAGAAATCTTTTTTGCTTGAAAGGTTGCTAGTGCTTAATGTAGCTTGTATTGTCTTTTTAAAGTAAGACAATCAAATCACATAATGTAATTAATCTACATTATCAGCCTTCCCCAAAGACAAAGCACAGGCTAGACACCGAGGCTTGAGAAGCATGTGAGAGAAAACATTGCCTTTAAATTAGCCGTAGCAGATACCAGAGGAGGGGAGGAAAAGTGAGGAAGTGCTCACTACAAAATACACACTTGTACGTTTTACAAAGGACAGCGAAGCAGAGTTTGTCAAGGTAGGGTTATCTCCTGCAATCCTTAGACCAGGGGATTACTGTGACACCAAAGGTGGCACTGACTACGCTACCAACTTTCTTACCAGTGTCGACATATTACTGTTTTCTTCGGCTTGGCTCCAGAAATAAAACAATGTAATGAAAATCTAATTTTTCAATAAAAATGAGCAAATCTAAACTGGGGACCCACATGTGGAAGCTTAAAGCTTGGAAAGCTAAATGGCAAATTGCTACTTTTTTGTCTCTCAAATGTTAATATCTGACAAATTTTAGGTGAGCCAGTTTCATGATTTGCTTGGATATCATGCATGGTTTACGAACAGAGGGTGAAGGCAAGTCTGAACATACAGCAGGGCCAGTGGGCTGCTACAGCAAGAACAGCGTTCATTGTTGGAGCTAGTGCTCTGTGTGTTTCATGTCTGTATGTTAGCGATTTCTTGACATCCCAGTTTTTCCTTGGATTAGATCCCCAGCTCCCTAACAAACAAACAAGCTCCAGTTCTCTTCAACCACCACTCCTTTCAACAAAACCAAGGAATCCCTGCTTTTGACACATAAAAATTAGTTTCATGAGACTGACGGAATATTAGGGAAAGGGAATTTAAACTTTCACACCGAAGATCAGTGTCTTTGCTCTGCTATCAAAGAAAACTGCTTCAAGAAATAATGTCACTGAGGACTGGACGACAAATATTTCTTTTTTTTTTTCTTCACATGTGTAGCAGTGCTTGTGCTGTGTCCTTTCTGCTCAGTACAGAGGCAACATGAGTTTTAGCAGTACAAATAAATACGTACAGAGCAAAAAGTCCCTAATTTTGGACAAGAGCGTGGCTGTATTACAACTCCTAATTTAGCAAACCATGACTTCCTCGAGACTTAAGCTCAAAAGAGATGCTAGAGCCCTCACATGTAAGTAAGAGTGAAATTTCAGCGTTTCATGTGGCTTTTGATCAAACTTTTAGTGTCTGAATTCAGCAGTAAGCACACCCATTGACTTCAAAGAGAGAAGTTGGACCACTCAAACACAATGTTCAAAGAACCTCCAAGTTGCAATGACGGATCTTCTTTAGCACCTGACTTAATTGTGCCCAGATTTTACTCTGTGCTTTGAAATATTTTCTTAATAGGCAAGCTATATGCAGTACTGAAATACGTATTAGATTCATTTTTGTAGAATAAACATATACAGCTTAAGTTAAAAAACTCTGGGCCTTTGCAAACATTCAAGGATGGCTTCAGCAGGTAATGCAAGATCTTGCTGCAGGCACAGGAATATTTTCTATTCCTTTCACAAAATATAATACACAAATCTGTGATACTAGATATACTGCATGACATAGTACTGCGTGATTTCTGAGGAGAGGACATGAACTCTCAGTCCTAACGACGAAACAGTGCTTTGGCACTTTCATGTAGAGCTGCAGCTCAGAGAGAAAATTAAAATAATTAATTTTACTTTGATCATCAAGGTTTAAGAGTTACATGTTTGGGGAGAGAAAGGAGTAAACTTCAAGCTGTTTTGATAACATGAATATAAGATAAAAAAATACATATATTCCATGTGATGCAGCCAGTCATTAAATTATCCCATAGCTGAGTGCATGAGCAATCTAATCTGTGGTCAGGAAGGTATATCCCTCAAGTAACGATGATGTGCCAGTAAGATTTCTTAAGACGACTTTCTACTCGTCTCAAGACCATATGATTTTCAGAGAATGAATCACATCCCAGATTGAGAGCCCATCCTGAAACTGCTTGACTAAAATTCTTAGTTTCAACACAGTTCTTGAAGACAAAGCTGAATCTACACTAACAGTGAGAAACAGGCCACAGAAAACTTCCAAGGTGCACACAATGCAATGGATATCACATTATTTTTCCTCGGGGTCTCAGTTCTTCCATTTTGTAGACCTAACCAAATATGAAAACATTAAACACAATCTCCGAGCTCAAAGCCACTTCCAAAACTGCCAAATATAAAATCGCTCTGTTCTGTTTATCATATTAAGATACATTTTTTTGATGAAAAAATGCTAGATTGCAAGTGTAACATAATAGAACCAGCAAGCACTGCCAGCAGGTCTGAGGAAGAGAGAATAATTCAGAGATATTGTCATCTGTAGGCCAATTTATATTGTCAAGACAGCAGGATCACATTAGTCTCTGATGTCACTGCAATAATGGCATAATATAACAATTGAACAAAGAATACCTGTGGGGTATAGCTATACAGTGCGGTATATCTATACTTGTTAAAGTATTTCAGGATTCATTCAAAGCGGAATCAGAAGAAGCAGAAGAGCAGGATTGAAAGAAGAGTGATAAAATGGTGTTCATAAAGGCTTCTGAATATTTTAGCCCTTGTTTTGTGATGATGAAGCAAGCACAATGTTGTACTTCATTGATTCAGTGGGTTCATGATTAAAATAAACTAATGTAGCAATTTAGAGGTTTTGTGCTTCCTTTTTTTTCCTCCCTGCTAACAAGAAAAAAAGCTTTTTAACAGTTTCTCGCGGCAGGCATAATGTGCATCTGTGCTCTGATTTACTGCACATGCTGCCTTCTCTAGCATCATGTTAAGTTAGGGTATCAGCATGGTAGGTCACACAGTGGGAGCGACCTTTTGCTAATCACTACACATCAGTTACTACTGGCACACAGCTCATTACTAAGAAACCCTCCAACTAGCTGGCTTTCAAATCCACTCACACTTTGATTTTTTTTTTTCCCTTTTCTTTCTTTCTCTTTTTCCCCCAGACTAAAGATTATACTTTTACATAAAAGCTTCTGTTGTGTAATTTGGTCAACTAGGGTTCCAAAGTCAAAAAGGCACCCAGTTAATTTTCCATGATTATAAAAGGAGCCGGAAAATTCATACTGAAGGTAGGCCTGTAATCTCGGGTTTCATTAAAAAGGTCAGAACATTTTTACCAACCACCTATTATTAAAATGTTTGAGGGCTGCCATTAATTTGATTTTTCAGGACACAGAAATCTCACTGGAAATTAGAATGCAATCCTGCTGTTGCTTTACTGACACTTTTCATAGGGTAGGATTCAGCTGCAGGGACTAAGAGCTCTCCTGCAATTTACAATTGGTTGCTTTGGACAAATGGCAGGTGACTAATGCAAGACAAACTGTTTGCACAACCTGGGAGCACTGGGTTTAATTTCAGTTTCTGAAAGAGGGGAGAAAGTGTTTCTATTGTCGTTGAACCGCGAGCTGTCCCCTGCCAATACATCTGCCACATTTAATACACAACACGCCCCCCCACCCCTGACAATGTGATTATTAGAGGTACAGAATTCAACAGCTTAAGAATACAAAACATAACTGGAGCAAAATGAAATGGTTTTTAACTTACCGGCCATTTGCTGAATGCCGCTGAAGGCACCCAAGTTACTGGAGGAAGTTGCTTGCTGCAGGAGCTGCAAATTAACAACAGAACACGGCAATCTATCTGACATTAACGTAACAAATGAAGAGAAAACTAAAATAAGCTATCATTTCACATTTGGAGCATTTATGCCTTCCTTTACATTTATACAGTCTCTTGGTTCTGTCTATTGTTGGAATGAACATCCCTAGAGTCAATGCTGTAAATCCATATTAATGTCTAATCTCTATTAAGAAACACAGAGACACAGGGGAAACTCAATAACATTGCTGCTTTAAAACAATTAATCAATTTATTCTTTTTAACAACCAGGTGTTAAATCTATTTAAACCAACATAGCGTGACTAATTACAACCCTCTGTAGTCTAGTAGTTACCATAACTCATCTCTGTCAATCACGGTCCATTCTCCCTCACCCCCTTGAATTCAGTTTTTTCTTTATTATCTTTATGAATCAAGCACACAGATATTCATTAGGCTGGTATTTGTATATAACAATTTAGCCTACCTCAGTACTAATATATATTTTTATTTGCAAGGTAAATTGCTGTTTATAATTATATCACCATCCCAAAGCATTGTATGCGTGTAAATTATGTATTTATCCATACACAGTACATATATATGGGCATGTCTATCTGTCTAACTCAGAACCATCAGGAACTCCCCAAGTTATCCAAAAGCTGCTCAACCAGAACTCTCAGCTTCAGAGCCACAAAAGGCAGAGGCTCCTTCTCAGTCGTGCTGCTGTCCAGGACCTCAGACACATGGCTGTGGATTTCAGATTTCTCCAACAAGGAGAAATGTTTGTTTCTCATCTTACAAATGGACCAAAGAAAATACCATTTTAAATTTATGAGAAACAAATGGCTTTCCCCTGCCATCTTCACTGTCTGTACAAGGTAGTATGAACCACGCATGTTTAGCATTGACGGGACCATGCATTAAAGTGAAAGCCATTTCTGAATTAAAATGTGGAAAATTAGAGGACTGAACTACAAGATTCTAGTTTAGAGGCTGCACCATAGACATGTGGCCCCTACAGTGTTCAGCTGCCTATCTGCCCTCCCCTAAGGAAAAACTTCAATTTTATTCCACCTATAAAAAAACAGACTCTAACATTCAAAAGAACAATAAAACTAATGGAATCAAATTTTATTTTGCAGTATGAGTAAACTTTAAATGCTTGCCTCTGACAGCACTGACACATTGTGAAATGTTTATTCAAATTCTATTCCTTGTTATTTATTTTTAGACCATGTGATAAACATACAGACTTTTTATACAGAAGAAGACACGGTTAGGTGGTGTGGGTTGATGGTTGGACTTGATGATCTTTGAGGTCTTTTCCAGCCTTAATGATTCTATGATACTATGCTATATATTACAGGGAGTTTGCTATGGCTGCTTTACCATGGTTCTGAAATAAACACAGTATAATACAGCCACCACCTCTGAAATGAACTTACAGCTAGATACTGTGGTGTGAGTCCTCCGAGACCTGTGAGGTTTCCCCAAGTGGCAGTGTTGAGCTGTTGCATCTGCTGCGCCAACTGCTGCTGCAAACGCCGCTGCTCCTTGTCCTTTTGGGTATCGGCGAACTTCACCACGATTGGCGAAGAGCAGCCCTGTGGTTAGACAGATCGGGAAAGACAGAAATGTTAAATCCCACCAAGTCACCCTCTTGCTGTGAGCTCAGCCGTGTCCCATAGGACCACCAGCAATGGCACAACCCGATTGCTCACCCTCTTGTTGTGATTGGCACATGTAGGACCGCAAGGACTAAGATTTTCAGCTTCTTAGGAAAAGAGGCTATGGAACAATTATTGATTCCCCCGTTCTTTATATAAAGCACCTTTCCTCAGGCTCTCTTTTCTTTCCAGCTATCAAAATCGCTGCCAGAGACAGTGGAGTGTACCAGTCCTCTTTAATTAAGCTTCACAGCTGATAAGATGGATGCGATGCTTTGTCTGCAGTCTGTTTTCAAGGCATCGCCAAAGGGAGAGGTGTCCAACTTCCCCGCTGCCAGGGACCACACAGCCAACACCGCCCTGCCACCACGCTCTGGCTGTGCGGTCACGCTCAGTGCAGCTGGCTTGTGTACCCTACGTCTACAGACTGTGAGCAACAGATTTACTTCTGCGCCCGTCATCAGCGGGTCACTGATCCTTTTCATATCCAGGACCCCGAGTCCCAAGTGAGCACTGAGGGCAATGCTGCTGGGACAATTCACCCACCTGCAGTCTGCTCCCAGGCACGCTTTGTATCTAGCACCCTTAAGATGTGAACGAAGGGCAGGATGCAGACCAAAAGTCACTAGTTGTGGTGATAGCATCCCATTCCTGATTGCCACCAGTTCTATTGCTTGTATAAGCTTCTTGTTACATGATATGGGAGGGCTGTAAGACACCTTAGGAAATAGGGAGGCTGTAAAAAGAAGTCTGGTCTGCAGCCTACTCCTCACCCATGTCTAAGGTACACTTGAGAAGAAGTAGGAGGTCATGGACCAGATGGGCTTCTGAGGTAAGCTGGATATTTCCCCTGGACTTCAGGTTGGGTATTCTTGGGTAAAGGCACTGAGAGAACGAGACAGGGGAATTAGAAAGATGCCTCTGTTGCTCTCACTCTTTCTTCCCACCCCGCTAAGATATTAAAATTTGTTTTCATATTTTAACCTTTCAAGTCTTCATTTTTTTCAAATCAAGGGAGCAAACTATGTACTGCAATGATTCAGGTCTTCAAATTAATTCAAGCATTCTGTGAGTCATAGAAACTGTCAATCCATTTCATACTGTTTTCCAACTTCATAGGATCCAACGAATAACCTCCCTCCACCCGTCATGCTTTATTCTACTAATTTCTTGTCTAACTTCAATCTGAATCTGGTAGAAGTGAAAGGTGACTCAAGTCCAAAAAACACAGCAGCACTTTAGCCAAAGTGTACAGCGTGGGATGGGGACTGGGGTTATACTTAACGTAACTCTTCCCACGGCTGCTCTCACAACACTGTAAACTTTTTCAGAAAAGTTCCTGTCCTCTAATATTTACAAAAAGCAGCCATGTACCTTTTCTCTGAAGAACCTCACACCAGGACAAATGAAAAGAATATTCACAATCAACAGACGAAATTATGAAATAAACCACAATAATAATAATATCTCTTGTATGAAGATCTCCCATCAATACTGTTCCTTTAGAATTATCTTAGAAAATCATTGCTTGTGATTTATTATTCCACCACCAACTCCTTTTCCTGTGTGCTTCATTGTAAAAATGTCTTTCAATGTTTCAATGAGGAAGAAAGGAGATACGTACCACTCCAGCAATCAAACAAAGATTATAAAGGAGTCAGCTTGTTATACAATTACCTCTCTCCGGTGATTTTTATACTAATATTAAAAATAAGACCCTTTAAAAAAAAAAAAAAAAGAAGGAAAAAGGAGCCAGGGGGTGGAGGCTGTGGGAGAGTTTTTTCTGGTTTCGCTAATAAAAAGGCAAGCTGTTTCTATTTAATATGAGGTTTGATAGCACTGAGCTATGAACAAACAGAACTTACTGCCTTCTACCTATAAGTACAGGAGAATCAAGTCTATTTCCAAAGAAATAGAAATGAATTTCCCAGGAAGAAATATTACATGGCTATTTCAGTTCTCAGTTCAGCAGCTCAGCACTCAACACTACAGCTGACATCAAATGTATGAATGTTTAAATGTCAGTAAATTGTATAAAAACAATATATCTGCAATTTATGAATCTATAATTCATTTTTTCACTGTCTGCTCTATATTTCATCACTTCATCATTTTCCAGAGAGCAAACATTCTGAAGACTGAAATTATATGTAGCAAGTGTCTCTATATGAGAAAAGGGTTGTTATTGTTGCATCAAATTTACTCCATGATAACAAATTAGTGTCTCCTACTGGTGCTGCATTTGAACACCTTAAACAAACAAAAAAACTCCGCAGAAATGAGATAGAAGAGCAAAAACTCTAGAGCAGCAATTATGTTTTTAAAATCAGTTGATTTAACCAAGTCAGAAAGTCAGGTGGAAAGAGCAATAAGAGAATTCATTATTTTAGGAGACGTGTTCATCTGGACATTAACATCCCCATTGTTCTTCCTTAGCCCACTTTGAAAATTCATCTTGGTCAATGATGTGTGCCAAAGAACGGAAAATAATGAAATCGGGAAAAAAAATTTCTGCAGTAATCGGGTTGAAACAATTTTGTACTACATATTGTCCCTCAAGCCCACTTTTGTTTGCAAAAACCCATAAAATTAAAGTGTCCAAGGACCACTGTTTCAGGCTGAGAGTTGAGATTTAACACTAGCTAACCCAAGTTAACGTTTTACTAGAAGAGTATTGGCTAAAGCGAGCAAGCTTTTTTTGCTTAAAGGATGATTTCTATTTTATGCTCTTCCATTTTCTATCTTGAGAGGAAGACCCCAGCACGTACACAAAGGTGCATCTCCCTTCCTCATTCAATGGCTTAGTATCTCCACACCACATGGGGCCATTTTCTTTCCAACATCTGGTGCTGCCTTCATATTTTTTTTTTGTGTTGTCAAGACAGCAGGTAAAGACTTTGTTGAGCCCCTCACCCAGGGAGCTGGAGGGTGTCCTGCTTCTCTCCAAGAAGGAATTCAGCCTAAGCTCAATTGGCACGAAGACCCAGATGTTCAAAGTGCAAAATATTTGGAATCACCTTGCCAATTTTGGGACCTTATTGATGACGTCTCTAAAGGTGTTGAGAAGTATTTTGATCCAAGAACAACTATTCTATAGAATTAATGTCAACAGAAGTATCACATCAAAATGCAGCCTCTGTTGGAGTACCGCATACAACAGAAAAATAGGAGAATTTGTCTGAGAGGTATTATTGCTTTAATTTTACCATCTTCTGAAGTAGAGCTGTGTAAAAGTCATTTTGCTAGACAGAAAAATACATTAAAACACATGGAAAAATATAGGTAAAACACAGTATTACTAGTAAACATTTTGTTTTTACTTGGAATCAAAACCAGCAAAACATATAGATCTGAATTAATGAAGCAGTGCATGGCAGAAAAATTACTGTGAGTATTATTTCAGAGACTCAAAGTGTCAGTTTTTTCATAATATACGGTCAGATTGCATATGTTGTATAACAGCAGCTTTCTAGTAAAGATAATTCCAATTATTCTCATCTCACTGGTGGATTCTCATCTAAAACTGTATACTCAGAGTCTAAAAATGCATTGCACTGAAAAGAAAACACATTGATTATAAGAGAGCTCAACCAAATTCAAACGTGATGTTTGGAAAGACAATAGCTTTGCAATGCCGATATCATTAATTGTAGGATACAGGAAACAGTTAGTGACATTTTCATGCACTGGCTTGGCTTTTATCTTCTCCTTCTTCTCCTCTCTCCACCCTCCCACCCCTGGTCTCCCCCCTTGGCTCGTTACACAAAGCAGCTCAACGACATGACGCAATAATGATTGTTTAGCACCCAGCATGCTTTGGGAGACTAGAGCATTGCAAAGAAAAATCACTGAGAAAAAAAAATAAATTTGAAAGGTCCTGGTGGAAAAAGAAATTAAAAAAAAAAAAGAAACAAGTGCACATAACATCAATGCCACCTCTGAGAAAAATCATCACTACACAAAGATACAGTATACATAATACAGTATAACATGCACTCTCCAATGATAAGCTAGAAGATCCAGAGTAAGTAAAGACTTCATTCTTGTGCGGTTTTTTGTGCAAAATTCTGAAAGACCATGACAAAAATCACAGACTGAAAAAAGTTTTGAGATTGCCAGACAAGCCGTGGCATTTGATAACCACTCCAATGGATGGGTCGTTAGCCTGCAGCTCTAGTCACATTAAGTGAACAGGTTTAAAGTTTTGTGTTGCTCATCATGATAAAATAAGAGGCCGTAGCGGCGGTTTGGGAGGAAATAAAGAGCGTTGCTTGCGAAGGGCTGGCCACGACGGCGCTCTGCAGGAAGTGCCACACTTCGATATGCTCTGTCATCATTAGCATTTTTATTGGCTACATGAAGAAGGAGAAATTATATTAACTTAAAAAGAGATTCTATTTGCAGAAAAACACATGCACTAGTAACTCAGCGTGGCCAGGTTAAATCTCTTGAGCTTTTTCTCAGAGCAGCGCAAACCACAATGCTTAGAAATCTATTTAAAAGAAACCAAGATTTTTTTTCTTTGGGGGTGTGTGTGTGTTAAAATTAGAGGTCATTTACTCATCAGATACACTCTGAGTATGACTGAGGAGTGGTATTCACAGCGTTTTTATTTTCTGCTGAATGCCACTGAAAAGAGGATCAAGAGCTGTGTTTGGATACCACACAGCAACCTTATCGTGCGCTTTCATTAAGAAAAACAAGCTTCAGAAAGACAGGGAGAGTGAGTTGGTAAAAAATTTAAATCTGTGATTGTCATGTGTCTGATCTGGTCCAGGAGAGCATGGCTTTACCATTCGCAATCATTTGCACAAAGAAAACAAAGAAAGGGCAAATGATACAGTACTGTACCTCCATGGTCTGAGACTGGTGCATGGCTTTGATTGCATTCTGTGCCATTGCCCTTGTAGAAAATGTGACAAACGCACAGCCTGTGGGAACAAGGGGACAGGGAGCAGGAAAGACAAAAAACAACAAGACAAAAGGGTTGGACGCTTGTTAAACCAACACAGTCTACGAGAACGGCCACAAGACGACACTGTTCTCTGTAGTACATAAAAATAAACAACTTCTCTAGTTTATTTATTGACAGTGCTGACTTGCTAATCTGACCATAGATGAAAGAAAAAAATTAGGTGGGGATGGGTGAGGAGGAAGGGTTTTTTCCTGGGTTTTTTTCTTTTTTTTTTTTTTTTTTTTTTTTTTTTTTTTTTTCTTTAGCCACAGGTTTTGAAATAAGTAAGGCTTTTATACAGACTTTGGATTGCATTGTTTAGTCTGTTCAGACCATGTATTAACAATTGCTTGCTATAGCTTTTCTGCTTTTCTGGTAGATTGTGGATAGTGAATAAATGACTGGCATCACTGGCAGCTGAACTAGAAATTTAATAAAGTAGTCCATAATATCACATATTTCCGTGATGCACCAAGAATAACCAGACAAATAAGGATGAGAAAATCTCCACTGTGTAGCCTGCGACTAAGTGTGAAAAGACTCAGACAAAATTCAGTAATGTAGGTGGAATCTCAACATTTAAGAAAATAACGTATTAAAATAAAAATCTTTATGATTTTTGTTTCTCCAAGTCCTACGTACAAGTATAATTCTTTGATTTATGAAAGCTACCACCAACTTGAACTATTCTGAAGCTATGTGCATGAATAACTGAAAACCCACTTTTTTCCCTCTTCAGTCTTTTAAATAGTAATGAAAAGCCAGTAGGCTAATGCCTGGGCTATTTTTCCACCCTTTTGCTATTGTCAGTCATACCTACACTGCATGGTACAGGTCAACTTTTTTAGTGCACGACTCATTGCCCTTTTGACTAATAAAAACATTGCCTTCTGAGATTTAAATTTTATTCTTCATGCACCCTTGGGCATCTTAAAGAAAAAGACTGTGAAATTAATGCCGATTCAGGCTGATTTTGTAATAATACCATGGCACACTAAAAGCTTAGCTAAAGCAACACAGACTTATTTCACTTGTGATCTCTAATGACTTTAAAAGTACATTGATTTTCAGCTCCCTTAGCCTTGCACAGTTTGAACTTAGGTTTCAGAGAATAATTTAGTGTTCCACTCAATTTCCTCAAAACATTATTATTATTACTACTTAAAAGATTTCCAAATGAAGCAAATCTAAGCACTGAGAGGCTAAAGCATATTGTCATTTTAGAGCTAATGCATGAAAGCTCCATTCTGGCACCAAAAATACAATATTGTTGCCCCTGTGGCCAATGGGCAAAATAAACTATTTTGCAATCCAACAAGCAACAGATTGTTTGGTTCATACAAATCAATTTGAGGCACAAAATACCTTTCTTTTTTTGCTCTGTGTGTACCTGGTGAGATTATCAAGTCAAGACTGTATTCACATTTTAATCAAACAACAGTAAGAGAAAGCAATGCCTGATCATTACCCAAAAGCACTACATCTACTCATGAAAATAGTCAATGCATTTTTGCATCATGCAGTATGTTTTTTTGTTTGTTTGTTTAATGTAGAGGCCCTTGATACAAGAGAACCTAAGCTGGCTTGTGTACCTCTGACTGATAAGTGAGCGTGATAAAATCAGAAGTCAGAATTCTTTATGCAAACTTCACGGCAGTGTTGTGACTCTGTACCTCTCAGGTAACAGCTGATGATGTTGTACTGGTGTTTAGCCACATACTACGTGTGGCTATACTATTCTTATTCAGCAACAAATTTCTGTCAAAGAAAACGATGTAACAAACAGCTTTCTGCACGGCACCTAGACAAAATGTGCAGTAGAAGGGTAAACAAACTACAGTACCTCCGCTAGATTCCATATTGCTGCTGTCCACTAAAATTAAAGAGGCTCAAATTTACCAGCAGTCTCAAAGTAATCTCTCTTAAAAAACATTTCTGTTATTGTCATTAACAGAGGAAATAACACCAAGGGTTTTCATTTCTTGTCTTGCAAATTCAATAGGGGATGAGCACAAATAGAGATATACTGGAGGGCAGGAAGGAAACCCCATACAGAGCCTTGAATAATATTGTTTATAATGCTCAAGAAACTGCTTCATTCACTTCTTTTGCTCTCATTATCCAGGAGTGTGTACCATACTGACAATTACTGAATGGAGGTTTAGAATGCATAAGAAGCATGTAAAATGTCAACAGAAATCAATAAGACACAGTTTATGCATTTATCACAATTTCTACCCAGCAGTACCGCTGTAAGTAACTTTCTGAGAGATGTTGCAATTAGCAGGTCTCAAAAGAAACGTGATTCAGCAGAGAAATAAAGCTGCGCTCCTCTCAAGATAAAGCACTCTTCCCTCCCTTAAGCTTTTTCTCTTTTTAACCACAAAGCTCAGCTGTTGGGGACTTTCAGTGCCCAACGCTACTCCAAAACCCCCCTCCTTGTTCCTCAGTCCAAATCCATTTGCGTAGATCCCATCGCTTTTGTCATGGAGTGAAAAGACCTTCGCAGCAGATCTCTGAAAAGTGACATATAGCAAGCTACCAATTTAAAAGAAACTTGTTCTCTGGGCAAGGGGAATGCCTGATGAATGAGGTTATGCAGCTTGAATATGAGCATTTGGAAACAGCATTCCGCAGAGAAGACGGGACTGCATTTTAATTACGGTTTGCCAGCCAGAGGCGACAAGGTTAGGTCCCCTTGTTACCGCCAGTCAGTGGGTGATTTCCCGCCAGTGGACAGTGGCCATTTGCACAGTAAATACCCAATTTGTCTCAATAACGATGGTAAAAATTCAGTAGACAACCTTCTTTCTAAATTATGTGATAACCTAGACCTTTGGTTGTTACCATCAAGCACCCCAATTAAATGCTGGCTAATTTAACCATCTTTCCAGACACTGCTACAGGTATTCACATTCAAGAGTTATTTATTTTTGCAGCTACCAAACCTGGACACTCACACACAATATTTGTATATTTATTATGTGTGCATATGTATTTGATTATGTGTGAACCATGGGATCCTTTCCTTCACGACCAGATTGCCACACTGGAGGGGAGCTAAGCCTCTGTCATAGGATTCAGTCCACCAAACTGGCACGTGTAGTGTAGGTATTCAGAAAAGCTGTTCTTCTGAGATGCCTGTACTCTCTGCCACAGTTGATGGCAGTGACTTTAGTTTTCTGTATGGGGTACGTATGCACTTTGGGAGGATGGTTTAGTTGGGCACCTAGAATTTAATCACAAGTCACTGGATTTTGCCCGTTTAATCCAGCTGAGCTCTGCCTGAACCATCCTGCACTCTTGCTGCATCAGTTTCTGAGGGGCTGGGAAAACCCTTTTCAGCACACTCTCACTCAGTGTATCTCATGGATACAGGTGGTCTTTCGGGAACACACTGCCAGCTTTAGGACTGTAAATCACAATTACAAGAGGACAAGACTAATCAGGTTTCATGCCTCGTGGTGCAAGGAAACAAGAAAGATTTCCATGGCCTCTTACCTCTTCCTGTGAAACACTGCAGTGATTGTAGTGCTGTGGGCTGAGGTCTTCTGGACCAACAGCTACAAGCGAATTATTTCTGTTTTACCATACTGACTCCCTTCTTACCAGAGCTATGAAGCTCTCCAGGAGAGAAAATGTGGCGATTGTTTCTATAGCTAATGTCTTGAAATTACTTTGTTTTGTACCACCAGCTACCTAACCACAAAAAAAAAAAAAAAATCCTTTTGTAAATACAGCCAACCTGCAAGTCACCTTGCAATTATTTATCACCTCTGGTTTCAAAATGTCAGGGATCACAAACAGAAACAAAAGGGGAGGGAGAAAGGAGGTCTAAGAGTTTTAGTTGCTTCTCCAAGGCTGCCTCCTCACTCCCTGCACCAGATAAATGATTGACTGGGGAAAGGCTGCTTGAAGCAATTTCCTTCTGCAGGCAGAACTGGAGGGAGGCACCCAGCCCTGTCACAGACGATATTTTAGAGCACATTGTCATCACATTTGCCATCTCAGCTGAGAGAACATCTAAACTCACAGGGTTGGTCTTTACCCCCCTCCCACTCCAAACCGAGGGAGAATTTTGAAGAGGCTGTGAAATTTGGTAAGGTTTCTCTCTGACCCATGCCATCCCAAACCTAGGGCTTGCTGCTCCAGCAACTGAATTATTTAAAATATTTTAAAAACCTCAGCACTGCCCCATTTCAGCTCTTGCTTCACTCAATTCTTCTCATCTCAGGCTTTCATAGACTCTTTTGAAACGTTCAGTCAGCAGTTCACACACAATCTAACATAACATCAATACTTGCGAGCCGCAAGTGAAGTAGAACATTTTTAAGTATGGAAGCCTCAAGGTAAGGGCTCTGATTTCATACCTACACAAAAAGCCTCCCACATAAGACTGCCATGGTCTACCAGAGGTTTTAAAGCCCCCAAACCCTCAGTGAAGCCAAAGGGAGATGCAAAACCCCTAGACTTTTTTGAATCACGCCTAGAGTTAAAAAATGGAAGTTTAAAACCATGGCTTTAAAGTTCTGGAGATGAAAGAAAGGCAGATGTAATCAATTAAAAAAAATACAATGACCCCTCTGACACAGAAGAAGGCTCAAGAGATTTTCAAAGTCATGCAAGCAGCCGCAGTACGACGTATGGTGGCTGTGCAGCTGGGGCTGTAATGGTTGCACTACAGCTTCCTCGTTCATCGTAAACAGGGTTTTTCATCAATTTTGTGGAGAAACAATAGTGAAAAGCTGCCAAAGTACTCCTGCAAGAAGTGTTTGGGATCCTCTGAAACGAAAGCCTCTATTTAAAGACAAGATAAGGCTCAAATAAAAAGCTATGGAAATTGAAGTGTGATAAAAATAAGCTCTAGCTGTGTTAAAGTATTTCTAGCGGAGATTGCAAAGTAGACTTTCCCTTTTCTACACTGTGCTAATATAGCATGGTCTGAATGAAGGAACAGCCTGGGAAACAGCCTTCTAA